TAAATGTTTTAATAAAAGAAAAGAGATTCATGGCTAAACATCTCTTTTTTATACATTTCATCATGTTTCTTACCTGAAGTGATACTATTATCATAGGTAGGTAAGGTCCCCTTTTCAGGCCAGAAAGGCCCATTGGGGAATGGGGGACAAGGGCACCATTTTTACTTGACCATCTGACACTGGAGGTGGAGGTGATGTGGTCAGCATCACACTCCGGCCGGCCTGTTACCCCCAGAAGGATTAACCCCCACTACTCACTTGGAAAGCAGGCTGAGTGGACCTGGGAGCCGTCTGGAAGGATTTAGAGCAGCTCCATCGCTTGCCCCTACCTGGGACTGAACTGGGGACCTTCCGGTCAGGAGCTAGATGTCCTTGCCGTCTGAGTTACCACGGCTACAGATACTATTATCATACTGTCATCAAACATCACATCAAAAGTTAAAGTACAGTACATGGATTCTTGTGGCTTTCCAAAGGAGCCCAGATTCAACAAGGCCCTTTGTAAATATATCTGACTGGTTTTACAAATTCAATCAGTTGATGCTTTAATCCATAACAGGTTAGTTTGCACCCTTTTATACAGCTGGGTATTTCACTAGAGGAATTTGGTTGAAGTAACTTGTTCAGGGGCACAACAGCAGTGGCTCATCTTGGATTCAAACCCACAACCTTCCAGTTACAAGTCCAGGACCCAAACCACTGGTCCACACTGCTGCCAGATCTTAGGTTTCTTGTCTGTACTAATTTTAGCTGCAAAAAAAATAAATATTAAAATGTGCACATTTAATGTTGAGCTTACTGGAAAAGAGACCAGTGTTTGTTCTGTGATTCACAGGCTCTGGATCCTGAACAGAGCAAGTATCTATGAGCCAAAAAAGCTTAAGGAAAACAACTGAAGGACCATGTAAATGTTGGCTGAAAGCACTAAAAAATCAGGAAAAAAGAATTTCGTCTTCCTCCTGAAGGAAACTGTTAAAGGAGAAGGCATTGTTACCGTGCCGGTGAAATGAACAGACTTTGATTCATAAAATCATGAAAGGTCACAGGAGACAGTGGCTCCAATTATTTACCCCTTGGTAACTCAAAGGAATCTGGAGTCTATCCCGAAAACACACAACACAATGTGGAACTGCGCCTGAGCGGGCACTGCAGCTTGGACAGGATGCCAGCCTACCACGGGATACACACATACACTCAGGGACAATGTATAGAGCCTGTAATAAACCGAGTGCTCATGTCTTTGGGTGGAAGCCAGAGCACCCAGAGAAAGCCCATGCTGACACCAGAGAACATGCAAGCTCCACACACTAGGAGCCTCGGCATGAAGAGAGCTCTAAAGGCTGAACGTGAACTACTAACCCATCGAACTCAAACCCCAAACTATACATTTAAAATCCATGTATGGTGTTACGTTCTCATTTAAGGAACACGAGCTGAGACTGCATTATGAAGAGGTGTCTAATGTGTGTGTTTGAATATGGTTGTAGGAAATTTCAGTTAAACAGAATTTATGCCAAGCCAGATTACTAGATGACAGACAAATAGCAATGTTAATTGTAATTCTTTTAAATTAGATTCCAAATATCAAAGCACGTTGATATAAATGTTCAGTATACGGTACCTCCCTGAACATACAGGAAAGTTTAAGTGTCCTTACTGATTGCAATGCGAGTATTACCCTGAATCTACAGACACTGGTGACTGGTGGCTGTATTCACATTAGCAGCAAAAAAAGGAAGTCTCTTTCCACAGTAAAGAGAAGACTATGACTCAACTCAACACGCCTTTAATTTTCTGTGAAATTCCAAAAGGCATCAGTTTTGAACACAGAGACTCCAGTGGACTTTCTTTTGGAAGATTATACATGCCTGGGGAAATCCTGTGCCACTGTTCTCAGGCCCGTTCAGAGACAGAAGCCCTACATGAAGAGCTATCCTAGCCCCCAACACGAGAACCAACCACACACAAAAGCAGCAGCCAGACAAAACGTCTTATCTTGGCACAGCTTTTTATCCTCCTTGCAAATAATGAGAATTCATCGCTTTAGAAAAATTCTACGGCCGATCCAGTAATAATAATAATTCCTTCCACTTATATAGTGCTTTTTCTGGACACTCCATTCAAAGCTCTTTACAGGCAATGGAGACTCCCCTCCACCACCACCAATGTGCAGCCCCAGCTGGATGATGACGGCAGCCCATACTGCGCTCACAGTACACTCATCACACATCAGTGGGGAGGAGAACAGGGTGGAGAAGTCAATTCATAGATGGGGGTTATTAGGAGGCCATGATTACAAGGATTAGCTGGAAATTTGGCCAGAATACCAGGGTTACACCCCTACCGTTTCTGAGAAACGCCCTGGGGTTTTTAATGACCACAGAGAGTAAGGACCTTGGTTTTACGTCTCATCCAGAGGACAGCACCTTTCGACAGTATTGTCGAACTATACTGGGGCATTAGGACCCACACAGACCACAGGGTGAGCGCCCCCTACTGGCCCCACTAACATCACCTCCAGCAGCAACCTCAGTTTAGCCAGGTACTGGCCAGGCTCACACCTGCTTAGCTTCAGTGGGTTGTCAGTTGTGAGTTGTAGGGCGATAGGGCTGCAGTCCAGTCCAGCTGATTTTAGGCTTGCAGTTCAAACCCTGTGCACTTAATGAATACACCCTCTGGTCTCTGACCAACAACTCTGGCAGCTGTTTGGGTTACCAGCCATCTGAAAGCAAGTCTGCAACTGTGAAGGAAAAAGTAGAAAAAGTCCACAAAGAAAACAAAATGTCGGAACAAGACAGTGGCAATCCATTGCCATTGCTGCTTACTGGACAAGCAGATATGGGAAAACTGTGGAAAAACAGGATGTGGTCAAACATCAAACAAGGCCGCAAACCATCAAAAAGCTGAAAAGAAATCGTCAAGGTAAACCAAGGAATACTGAACATACCAAAAACAACCCAAAGAAAAAAACTTAAGATAAGTTTACAACCTCATCTGAAAAGCGTTTGGTCTTTTCCTATCCCAATATGCTAGTTTGTATGGCTTCAAACAGATTTCAAACAAATAATTCTGAGACATAATTTATCCCTCCTTTTTAACACAATGCAGTACTATCCAGGTAATCCCCGATTTCTGTAAATCCCTCTTCATGTGAAAACGCACATGCGGCGTCTTGTTTGCATTGCCTCCTGTGTGTAGTTGTTCTGTACAGTTCACTTCAATACTGTAAAGGTGAAGTTTTGTATTATTACAGAACATTTTCAAACTGGTGAGCATAGCTTAGTTTTAAGCATGGCTCTGACTTGTAAGATGCCTTATCTTGTAAGAAGCTACAGAACACAAAATACTACTATGCTATTATAAACAACTTTCTTTCAAGCTCAGGTGAGAATGATGATCTTATCTTCCAATCCGCTACTGTGAAATGACAGGACTTCCACAAATGGCTTTGACATGATCATTCCACAGCTGCGATTTATACTGCAGGTGTTTGAAATTTCACTACACTGACATTCAGGCAAACTCAAAGAAAGACCCTTCCGTCTGAATGGCAGTGAATAGACTGAGACCCTCGTTACAAAAATCTGATGGAAAAATAAATGTTGGATTTTGGGGAAAGCAGAACATTTGATCCTTGCAAATGTTCGATTAAGCGTCTTGGTTTTAATCTCGGAATGCACAACACATGTTCAGCCCTAGTTTTTTAATGCATGGTCTGGGGCTTTGTGATGTTTTCCCCACAACAAGCTGGTCTGTCTAAAGATCCCTTCAGAACATAACACAAAAAAGGCTCGTGACGCTCTTTTGCAATTGTTGTTTCACTTCCTTAGCTATGTCTGTACTATTAATAACCTCCTAGAAATTGAAGTTTAGGGCGTGACAACATATCACGCTTCAATGAATAACAGTATTCTGCAAGGTGTGTCCTGCTGTAAAACCTGAGGATTATCTGAAAGGCCCAATAAAAAAAAGAATGTCATTTCACAAAAATAGTGATCAGTTTTGAACTCTTGTCATTTCTATGATAGTCTAGCAAGGAAAGAGACTGAAGCACATGCACCATCACCAGACTGAAGGCATACTGACAGCTACAATGCTAAGCAAAAAACAGGCTGACAGGCCCTGCTCTTGACGTTTTAAGAAGAAACGGTTTCGTATACCTGTAAATAACCTAACCTTTTAACTGGTTTCATAGAAGGCTTACTTCAAAATGGAAAGTGGGTCACCTTCCGTCTCCAACAGGACTTGCCCCAAACCTCTTCCCACTCACCTGAGATGATTCATCATAGTTGGGATCCCTTGCGTCCGGCTCCTCCATCTCATACACCATTCCTGCTGCACCCCACACACCCTTCCCACCGGCGCCCCCTGCAGGTCACAAGAAGTACAACTCATCTTTAAAGTGAAGCCATATTTCTCTGGATTCATAGTCATTTTTTTCGAGCTTGACAGCCATTGTGTGCCTTCAACCCCACTTGATCAATCTGTAAAGTGAGACACTTTACCAGATGAATTGAGGGAATTTTAGCCAGGCCAGATAATACAGACCCAGAGTGAAATATACCCAGAAACCCATGGTTAGTATCCTTGCTTTTATGAGCAATGTCATGGGATCTTTAAGCAGTCAGGACCTCTGTTAAACATCTCATATACACTACACATAAAATAGAATTACAAAAACGTTCCATGTTTAAATACACAAGTTAAAAACCTGTATTTAATTTTTTTAAGTCATTTTAATATTGGTAGTGTAATGGGTAAAGTAATTCAGATAAATGAATGCACAAAAGCTTGTTATGCTTATAGGGTGTGGAAGCATAGCTCTACTCTACTTGCTTATCAAACCAAAGCACTGCTCCTCTCGCCTAGGGGTGCATAGTTACAGCTACAATATTCACTAGCTCAAGAAGTGCTGTCAGTATAAACATCAAATTTGCTCTAAAAAAAAAAAGAAAAATAAATAAATAAATAGGGGCAAAATAACACCAAAATATTTTCGGTGAGTTAGGACTCATTGAAACGTGAACCAACAAACTCAGCTGATCAGTTAAAACAGCCCAGGCAGCTGTGAGGAAGTGAGGTGTGGCTACACCCAGGAGCAAGGCTAAGGGCTCAGCAGCACGGTCACAGTTCTCCAGTGTGAACAGGGCTCCTGCAGCTGTGCCAACACCCTGGCCTTCTTTCCAGTTTGTCAGTGACAGGGCTCCATCGACTAGGAAAGAGTCACCACATGTGTAGAACCCAGGAAACAGGCACCAATCAATAACAGTATCGGTCTTGTTCTGGTGCGGTGCTTCTTGAACAAACCACCCTTTCTCCTGCTGGGCAGCATGAACAAGGCAAGTCTACTGTTCCACCTTGCCACTGCTAGACAGGTTTTCACCTGTGCTTGCAAATGAAGGCCGTGTTCATGACCCAGCATTTCAAAACAAAGCACGGAAACAAATGTTTTGCATTGCCTACAAATTAAATGTGATGCAAAACCTTGCCATTCACAGTATTAATACCGTACAGTCTGGGCATACACAGCTCACAGTGACAAAGAGTGGAAGATCAGCAGATGAGAGCTTGACCTAAACTGCAGCTCCCTGTAGCTACTCCGTCCCGGAGGATGAGGATGCTCAATCCTCCAGCTACTGTCTGGCTCTCGCACACGGCTGGCTGATGCGTTTTGTTCAAGAAGCACAACAAAACAGCAGAAGTGGCCCCCAATTTGTCCCCACAGGCCCCACT